TTTTTTTCCTTTTTTGCCCATTGGGCAGCTGGATGGGGCTGGTTGCATGCCCAGCTCTGTGCCACACAGCCTGGAGAAGAGGGCGTGTGGCTGCTCCCCTGGGTTTCTTCCACTCCGCACTGGTCCATCTCAGTTTCCTCAGTGGAGCTCCCACATATTTGGATTAGCCCCTGTCCGATCCTTTGGCCCACATTCCTGTCTCTTTCCCCATAAGACTGCTCCTAGGAACCTCCTCCTCCTGGTTGTCTTCCTCAGTCAAGAAGGAAGAGACCACGACTCCCTCGACTCCCTCGCCAGGAGCCTAGCATTCTTCCAGGGCTCAGCTCTGCAAACATCAGATACCAGATCTTCAGACCACCCAGTGCTGGACTTGTACTTTTTTTGCCTCTCAATTCTTCCGTCATTCCTGTTCCTCTGTCTACCCGACAGGCTCAACTCTCCCCTGTTCTAAATACCACATCCTCTCGATTCATCCTATCCTTCCCATCGTAGCCAAACTTCCCCAAAGAGAAGGAAGTGGCTGCTTCCTGTAGCCCCTACCCCACTCCTTGAACTTCCCAAATCTGCTCTCTACCCCGCTCCACTGACCTGCTGTCTTAAAGAGCCCCCAGGGCTTTCTTCCAGTTTGACTGCTCTGTGGCATGGCACACTAGGAACTGACCGTCCTCTCCTTCCCACTAGCTCTCTGGTCACTCCTGAGGACACTGCATGTTGCCTCTCCTCTGGCTCAACCTTTGTTGACTGCAACCTCACCTGGGGCATTGGTGGCCCTCTTTAACTCCAAGTCTCAGTGTCCAGCCCTGACCTCTTTTCCAGGCTTCAGCCTAAGCTTTGTGTGTGTTCATTTCAGGACATTCATCCAACAAGCCACTGCAGAGTGCTTGGTGTAAGCACTGTTCCAGGCTGGGTGCTATGGGGCTGCAGAGATGAACATGCAGTGAGCCCCGCCCTCAGGGAGCCATGGTGGGTCGGATGAGTTGGACACCTGTAAAATATTTATTTTTTCTGCCAGGCAGGAAGTGGTCAGTGCAGAGAGGGATGGAGAAAGTGGTCTACAGCCCAGGTAGCTCCACTAGGAAGTCCCTCAGTGCCCCCAACTCAATCTTAAAACCAAAAGCAAACTCCACATTGCCTCTCCTGACTTCGCTTCTTTCGTAAACAAGATCACAGTTCATCTGAGTCTGTGACTGTAGCTTGTAACCTTAGATGCCCTTAAGGCTGCTTTGCACACTGTAGGTGCTCAATAAAGACTTGGGCAGTGCATGCTTGACCTCTGTTTTGTTCATTTGTTCAGTTCATGAGGGACCTATGGTCTCCATTTTTCATACCACCTGGTGCCTGGCACATACCTCCAGTCTCCCTGTATCCTGTTCAGATTGTGAGGGTTTATTGAAGTGTTTATCCCTCTTTTTATGGGAGCTTTGAGGCCACATCTCTCCTGCTCAAAGAGGACCCCTGACAGGTGCCTGGCACATAGTAGGCACTTGATAAAAAATTAAATGAAAAATTAGTGAATCTTTGCATCTCAACACCTAGCACGTTGCCTCCCATGTTCTAGGCACAGAGTAAAGGCTAGTCAAATATGCAAAAAGGGCTAACTTTAGGAGAATTTGCTGTGTATAAACCTAACTCATCACTGGCCACATCAGGGCCCTTCTGGGCACTCAGTGAAATGTTCATAATCAGAGCATTAGCTGCTTGGCTAATGGGTTAAGCACGTGGCTCAGTGCAATTAGAAAATGAGATGTCTTGGAGAAAAAGGATTAGACTTACCGAGATGTTGCTGACTGGCGGTGCCTTCTCTGTGCGGGGCTCTGACCTGATAGTCTTCACGCTGCCAGGCTCAGAGTGGAAGAGCTCAGGTGTGGAGTCTCCGCAGTGTGCCGTGGACACACCTAACATGCTCCCAGCCCACTTCCGAGCCACCCTACTTAGGAACGAACACCCTAAATGGTGACAGGCCCTGCTTCATCCTGAGTGCCCTGGGATCCTTGGGGGCCATAGCAGTTGGGGCTGCTGCTCTGTGTGACAGGTGACCCGTGGTTCACAGACCCTTCCAGAGAGCCAGTTCTGCCCCGGGGTGCTTGCCAGTCAGCGGTCTTCAAGCTCGTCTCCCCTTGTTCTCTCCGCAGGCTTCCTGGTGCCCGGAGGAGGCTGCTGAGCCCCGGGCCATGGTCCCCTCTCGCAGGACGTGGAACCTGGGAGCCACGCCCTCGCTGCGGGGCCTGTGGAGAGTGGGCCGGGCCCGGGAGCCCGAGCCGGGGATGGCTCGCCCCGCCCCAGCCCCAGCCAGCCCGGCTGCCCGCCCTTTCCCACACACCGGCCCGGGGAGGTTGAGAACTGGTGAGTCCGCATTTTTAAAATGCCTCTTTATTTCCCTTCCTTCCTCCAGATACCAGAGAGGAGACTGAGGTTTCTGGCCGGTTCCTAAACAGTCAGAGCTGTCAGGTAATTACAGGGTAACCGGCAGCCCGAGAGCCCGGCCGGGCGTGGAGCGTCAACCTCGCTGGGCGCTCCTTCCCTGCGCCCTGCTGGAAAGAGAGGTCGTGGAAGCGGGTTAAACTTTAACGCGGTCTGTAGAGCAGGGAGAAACCACGGCGTCCTCCCCGTTCGAGCCAGGTCGGAGCTCTGTGATCTGCCGCTCCGTGGCCGAGAGCTCCTGGGCTCGCTCGGGTCTCTGCCCGCGGCTGGTAAACAAGGTAGGTGAAGTGGCTGCCGGGCGCCCTGCGCGGCGGCGCGGACACCTGATCCCGCCCGGGCTCGCCCCTGCACGGGCGTGAGCAGTGGACAGAGGCTGCCTGGGAGCGTGACCTGGCGGGGTTGGGGTGCCATGTGCTCAGTTTTAGGTGCTGTCTGGGAGCTTCTGTAGAGACCCCGACAGCAGGTGGGTGGTGAAGGGGTCCAGCGCCTGGGCCCCTGCTGTCCTCTTGGGGAGCTGTCGCTGGCCAGCTCGCCTTTCTGGGTCATGTCCCCTGGTGCCGCGAACATGAAGAAGTGAGTGGCTCCTCTGATTCTGGTGGTGGCTGGATTGTGGCAACTGGGGAGCTGCCCGTGACCCTTCCCTGAGCTCAGTGAGAGCGGGTTGCCCTGGTAGTGTGGGGGCAAAGGAAGTCCCCAGGCAAGGTGCCTTCAGGGGTTTGCTGTCTGTTGCTTCTGACCTACAGGGAAAGGGTTTAGTTTACCAACCTGTTGGAACAAGCAAGCTCCCTCCCGCCCATCAGGTCCAAGCCCCTCAATGTACTGAAAGTGAAACTGAGGCCCATAGCAAACTCCTGTTCATTCTGTCTCTCCCACCACATTTGAGCTATCAGCTGCAGCCAGAGTGATGTCTTCTGTGGTTTCTCTGCTTCTGTACTTCCCTGGGACTGGCCGCTCCCCAGCAGCACAGCCAGGCTGGGGGTGACCCTGGGGGCCTCCAGGAAAAGCTTGGGCTTTTGGATCAGGTAGACCCAGTTTTCTGAAAGGAGCAGAGAACGGTTTCCACCTCACAAAATTGTCCTAAGGATCACAAATGTGATGTGAATGAATGAGTATTACTTTTCTGGTTTAACAAAAATAAAATAAAATAAAAAACATTTTCCCTTGGAAAACTAAAAAACAAAACAAAACAAAATCCACAGAAAAATAAAAAAATAAAATAAAATATCACCTATAAGCTACTCACTGAACATTTTATATAGTTTCTTCCAGTTTTTTGTGTGTGTGTGTGTGTGTGTGCATTTAGGCCTAGTGAATGAGTATTATAAAGATTATATGACCAGACTTTGATCAAATTAAAAAATTTAAGACAAAGGTCAAATGAAATCCTGTATGTAAAATGCAAGCATAGTGCCTGCCACTTGGTAGAGTCTCAGCCAACTCAGCTGCCCCAGAGTCCCTCTGAGCACCCCTTCCCCCTGCCAACCCCTTCATTGCCACCTGAGAGGTATAGGCTGGCAGATGGTTGGTTAGCACATGGGATCTGAATACTGGCTCCACATGACCTTGGGCCCATTGTTAACCCTTCTAGGATTCTGGTTCTTGGCTTGCTAGATGGGGAGAATGCTCCCCGCCTCCCTGGGTGGTCGTAAGGAGCTAATAGCAATTGTGGTCCTAATGGCTTGTACCTGTGGGCACTTCCTATGTGCCTGGCATTGTGTGGGCACTTTAGATGTTTCATCCCATTTGATGTTCACCAAAGGGCTGTGAAGTTGGTTCATTATCCACATTTTACTGACAAGCAAACCGAGAGTCAAGAAGGACCATAAGGGCTGGAAAGCACGTGGCCCAGTGTCAGGCACTCAAGATATTATCATATCCCAGGGTAGTGGCTCCACAGTTTGCGCCTGTGAGGTCAGCCTCCTTCCCCACCTGTCCAGCCCCGCAGGCTGCGGTGGGGGTGGAGGCAGGGTGGATGGAGTACCAATGCCACAGTCAGCCCTCTCCCCGCATCCAGTGGGGGAGGCAGTGTGTCAGAGCGCAAGGGGTTGTGCTTTAGCTGGTCCTGAGTGTGCTTTTGGAGATGGCAGAGTCTGGGCCACCCAGCATGGATTTGGTCTTAATTTCTCTCAGGGGAGAAATTGCCACCTAGAGGCAGCCAGAGTAATAAGCCCCGTCCCTGGTGTCTTTGAAGCTGTGTGCAGGCATGTTGCTTTTGGCTTCCTTCTGCTGCTCTGTAGAGGGTGCCGATGAACAAGTGTCAGTCCCAAAAGCCACTGTGGGGAGAGGGGTGCCATCTGGAAGTGAATCTTATGGCAGCTTTTGGTAAGGAAGCCCTGCCCATGCCAGGCCTTTCCCTCTATGTAGGACAGGCATGTGAGGGCGTGAGTCCCTCCTGGTCACCGCTGGGCCAGCGGTGAGTGTATGAAAGCTGAGCTCAGACACTGCTCCTGCCAGTGGTCTGTGGCCAGCTGTCTCCAGCCAGCGGTCTGAGCATCTCACCTATCTCTCTGTCCTGGGACAGGGCGTGGAAAAAACACCCCAGTCGGTGGTGATGAGGACTCCAGTGCCCGAAGTGCAGCTCACCCAGCCCTAGCTCAGTGCCGAGCCCTCAGCTTGGACTGGGCTGGTCCCGGGAGTCCCCACAGGCTCTACCTGACTGTGCAGGTAAGCACTGGGGCCTTCAGAAATGTGAGGGGTCGAGTCAGGCCCAGTGTGTCTGGGCAGCTCTGGGGGAAAGAAGCCCCAAAGGAGAGCTGGGGACATGCCTCGTGCCTTTTGCCAAGCTCCTTGGAGTACATCCGCCTATGAGCCTGCATGGACAGAGTGGTGTGCTTTATTAAGTTATCTCAGGGAAGATCTCCCAGGAGGTGACAGAAGCTTTTCAGCCACACCCTGGCTGAGGTGTTGAAGTGGGAAGCGTGGGGCCTTTGCTGAGATGGACAGAGCTCGGAGAAGGTATTGGGGAAATAGGCAGGTTTGAGGTAGCTGTTTAGTCCCACTTGGACAAGTGAGTCTATGGCGGCAGTACTTGTATTTCCTTGTTGGAGTGAGAATCCAGACCTAGACAGGTGCTTTGCCAAAACTTGGGTTCTTTTCCCTTACAGTCATTATCAAGTGACTTTAAAAAGACTAACTTTCCATATATGTGTATATTGGGTTGTGGAAATAATGATAGCAGTAATAATAGCAGAGATTCATTGAACGCTGACTTTGTGCTGGGCATTTTATATCTCATATCAGTCCTCGTAATCCTCATAAATAGTCTCAAGACACAGTTACTGTTGTATCTGAGTTTTACGGGTGAGGACATGGAGACTCAGAGAAGTTGAGTAACTTGCTGCTGGTCACACAGTGAACTGGGATCTGAACCACTACACACAACTAACTTTATAGCATATGATGTAAAGAATTCGTACAGGGCAGAGATACAATACCCAGAAGCTGAATGCCTCTTATAATCCTCTATCTTTGAGAAATCCAGTATTAAGTTTTTAGAGTTTATCCATTTATCTTTCCAATATAACTACTTAATTATATATATATGATTTTTTTTTTTTGGCAGCTGGCTGGTAAGTGGATCCAAACTCTTGACCTCAATATTTTAACACTGTGCTCTAACCAACTGAGCTAACTGGCCAGCCTATATGATTTTTATTATTTATTTTTACATATTATTCTGTGACTAGCTCTTCTCCTCAATAGGAAGTCTCGGTTATCTCTTCGTGCATGTCGACATATAGAAAACTACCTCATTCTTTTAAACTGCTGCATAATGTTCTACTTCAGGGTTTAACATAAATTACATAACTGACCCTCTGTATTGTTTCTGATTGCAGTGAGCGCTGTGCATTTGTGCAGCTATAGCTGAGTGTTTTCAGGGCATGCATTCATTCAACAGATGTTTAAGAAGTGCCTACTATGTGCCAGTGTTGTGCTACGTGCAGGGATATTGTGAAGAAGAGAAATAGATGTGATAGTTTAGCAGAGACTCTAGAGAGTAACCAAATGATCACAAATGTATGAATGCACACCAGGCAAGGGCTGTAAACACAGTGGCAGAGGATAGAGGACCAGAGGTACATGGAGTGTTGCCAAGGTCTGCTCCAAGAAAGGCTGTGCGTGGGAGGACCCATCCCCTATTCCCTCACACTCTCCTCTCACCCATAGATCCTGCCCTGTCTGGAAGCCACATTTGCACAGAGCCTTGAAGGACCATGCACAAATAGAGGGCAGGATGGAGTATGACAGACACGTACCCTTTGAGCATATCCTCCCTTGTGCAGACAAAAGTCCTGTGCCCAGGTGGTGTGTGGTCCCAGCCCTGATCTGAACATGGGCCCAGTGGTTGATGTTGCTTCAGGGACAATCTCACGTTTCTCTGTCCTTCTCGTGTGGTTCATCTGAAAACTGAATTGAACTATTCTTCCTTTATCTGTATGGTCTGCGAAAAAAGCAGGTCTGGTGAGAGAACAGTTAAAGAAACCAGAGAACCAGTTCCTTGCTCTGACTTGAGCCATTGGTAGTTAAATCGGGAGGCAGCGGTCAGAAACCGGCCTCTTCGAATTGGGTGGTGGCTCTGCTCTTGAGTTTTGATGATGGGGTGTTGGGTTGTGGTTGCAGCTGAGTCCCAGGGTCAGCAGATCTGCTGAGGATCTCTGAGATGCTGCTGCCAGCAACTGCCTGCCATATTCTCCTCCTTCTGGCCCCTGCAAAGTTCTGTTATGTTTACAGGTGCTTCAGGGTCATGGATGTGGGGCCAAAGTGGGTCCCAAGCACAGTGAGGCGACCTTGTAGGCTTAGTGACCCCCCAGCCTGTCAGTCAGCAGTTAAAACCTGGGCTGCTCCCCCAGGGAGGCGCTGCAGAGACTCCCAACCCCCTGGGGGCCTGTCTGTCCTTTCTGTGGCTTGGCCAGAAATAGTGTAACCTTTGCTCTGGTCGGCAAATGGAAACGTCCAGCTGCTGCCGCTGCCGCCACTGCTAATAAGCCTGTTCACGATAGTGTGGCAGTTGGTCGAAAGGTGGGGACAAAATAAAGTCAGCAGGGATTTTCCTAAACACAAGAGGTGTGTTCAGCACCCTTCTCGAGTAGAACATGGGGTCGAGAGAGGGAGGGAGTGGATGGTGGACTAATGAGCTTTCCTCTTCTTTTTAATGCTCTTTATTGGCTTTTTGATTATCAAAGTGAAAACATGTGAAGATTGCAGAAATAATACGATGGTAACGGCTACCTTACACTGAGCTCTTACTATGCGACAGACGCTTTCTGAGTACTTTGCTTACATTATCTCAGTTACTCTTCACACGGGCTCTCAAGGTGGATGCTGTTGTTATTGTTTCTATTTTAAGAATGAGGCAAATGCAGCTTCAGAGAAGGTAGGTGACTTGCCCACAGTCGCACAGCTAACGAGAGGCAGAGCCAGGCTTTACGCCCAGGATTTGCTGGCTCTGCAATGAGCATTTAAAAAAAAAACAGAACATGTATCTGTTTGTTTTGAATATAAAGGGCATAGAGACACACAAAAATTCGTCCTCAATCTCTCTTCCCACATAACCTCTGTTAACATTAAAAAAAAAAAAACAAAGCACTGTAGATGTTTATAAGGTTAAAAATTCAAATGCCAAGGGGCCGGCCCGGTGGCGCACTGGATAGTGCGCCGCTTGGGAAGCGCGGCGGCGCTCCCGCC